GCTTCCGTCACAATGTGGCCGGGAATTGGAATCACAATGTAAAAATAGTGGCCCGAATTGAGGCACTTCATTAGGTTTACTCAAAACCTCTGTCAGAAGTGGGATTCGAACCAAGTCCTCCAATGGAGACTGCAATCTGAACGCAGCCAAGTCGCAGTTGTAATGTGTAATTCGGCCACCTCTTGCGGAATATCTGGTCAAAGTGAGATTGCCACAGGAAGACACACTCCTCTTTAACGCAGCCAAGTCGCAGTTGTAATGTGGAATACTGGCCATAATTCCGGCCACCTCTTGCGGAATATCTGGTCAATGTGAGATTGACACAGGAAGACGCTATTTAGATCCCTTCCGAATCACAAATGTAAAAAAAATTGGCCTGAATTGAGCACTTCATTAGGTTTCTACTCAAACCTCTGTCACAAGTGGGATTCGAACCAAGTCCTCCAAGGGAGACTGCGATCGGAACGCAGCCAAGTCGCAGTTTTAATGTGAAAATTGGCCGTATATTTGGCCACCTCTTACGTAATATCTGGTAAATGTGAGTCGCACAAGTCTAAACGTGAGATTGACACAGGACAACTCACTCTCTATATCCCCTTCGAATCACAATGTAAAAATAGTGGCCCGAATGAGGCGCTTCATTAGGTTTACTCAAAAACTGTCAGAAGTGGGATTCGAACCCACGCCTCCAGGGGAGACTGCGACCTGAACGCAGCGCCTTAGACCGCTCGGGCCATCCTGACATGGAATTTACAAGTTCACCCAGAGTTGATCGTTGGCTTGAATTAAAACATCAGTGGCTTCTTCTGCACAGATGCCGTGTTGTCCAAGTGTAATGTGCCATGATTGTGTTGGGGAGTGTCAGCAAAATCCCTCTTCTCCCCCGTCGGGGAATTGAACCCCGGTCTCTCCCACGTGACAGGCGGGGATACTGACCACTATACTAACGAGGAACACAAACAAATTGAGCATTCCTCGTCATGAGCAAATACTTTCAGTCCTACAATTTTAAATATGAGGTTGAGACTGACGGGATCCCAAAACACCTGTAAGAAACAGGCATGGTGGTTCAGTGGTAGAATTCTCGCCTGCCACGCGGGAGGCCCGGGTTCGATTCCCGGCACATGCAGCATAGCTTTTAGCACACTTAGCTGGTAGAGTTCTCTTCTGTAGTGAGGGTGGCCGGTTCCGATTCCCCGGCGAATGCAGCTTCCGTCACATTGTGGCCGGGAGTCGAAATCACAATGTAAAAATAGAGGCCCGAATTGAGGCACTTCATTAGGTTTACTCAAAACCTCTGTCAGAAGTGGGATTCGAACCAACTGTGATCTGAACGCAGCCAAGTCGCAGTTGTAATGTGAAAATTGGCCGTAATTTGGCCACCTCTTGTAGAAAAAACTGGTCAATGTGAGATTGACACAGGAAGACACACTCTTTACCACAGCCAAGTCGCAATTGTAATGTGAAAACTGGCCGTAATTCGGCCACCTCTTGCGGAATATCTGGGCAATGTGAGATTGACACAGGAAGACACTCTTTAGATCCCTTCCGAATCACAATGTAAAAAAATTGGCCCGAATTGAGGCAGTTTATTAGGTTTTCTCAAACACTGTCAGAAGTGGGATTCGAACCCACGCCTCCAGGGGAGACTGCTACCTGAATGCAGCGCTTTAGACCGCTGATGGCCGGCCAATTGAGCCCAGTTGTTTGATCGATTAAGAGGTGTAATGTGAAAACTGGCCATAATTCAACCACCTCTTGCGTAATATCTGGTCAATGTGAGTCGCACAAGTCTAAACGTGAGATTGACACAGGACAACTCACTCTCTATATCCCCTTCGAATCACAATGTAAAAATAGTGGCCCGTATTGAGGCGCTTCATTAGGTTTACTCAAAAACTGTCAGAAGTGGGATTAGAACCCACGCCTCCAGGGGAGACTGCGACCTGAACGCAGCGCCTTAGACCGCTGGCCATCCTGACATGATCGTTGGCTTGAATTAAAACATCAGTGGATTCTTCTGCACAGATGCCGTGTTGTCCAAGTATAATGTGCCATTGATTGTGTTGGGGAGTGTCAGTAAAAACCCTCTACTTCGGGGAATTGAACCCCGGTCTCCCGCGTGACAGGCGGGGATACTGACCACTATACTAACGAGGAACACAAGTGCATTGAACATTCCAGTACCGAGGGAGGCCGGCCAATGCAGCTTCCGTCACAATGTGGCCGGAATTGGAATCACAATGTAAAAATAGTGGCCCGAATTGAGGCACTTCATTAGGTTTACTCAAAACCTCTGTCAGAAGTGGGATTCGAACCAAGTCCTCCAATGGAGACTGCAATCTGAACGCAGCCAAGTCGCAGTTGTAATGTGTAATTTGGCCACCTCTTGCGGAATATCTGGTCAATGTGAGATTGCCACAGGAAGACACACTTTAACGCAGCCAAGTCGCAGTTGTAATGTGAAAACTGGCCATAATTCGGCCACCTCTTGCGGAATATCTGGTCAATGTGAGATTGACACAGGAAGCTATTTAGATCCCTTCCGAATCACAATGTAAAAAAATTGGCCCGAATTGAGGCACTTCATTAGGTTTACTCAAAACCTCTGTCACAAGTGGGATTCGAACCAAGTCCTCCAAGGGAGACTGCGATCGGAACGCAGCCAAGTCGCAGTTTTATGTGAAAATTGGCCGTAATTTAGGCCACCCTCTTGCGGAATATCTGGTCAATGTGAGATTGACACAGGAAGACACACTCTTTACACAGGCCAAGTCGCAATTGTAATGTGAAAACTGGCCGTAATTCGGCCCACCTCTTGCGGAATATTGCGTCAAATGTGAGATTGACACAGGAAGACACTCTTTAGATCCCTTTCGAATCACTAGTAATAAAAATTGGCCCGAATTGAGGCACTTCATTAGGTTTGCACTGTCAGAAGTGGGTATTCGAACCCACGCCTCCAGGGGAGACTGCGACCTAAACGCAGCGCCTTAGACCCCGCTCGGCCATCCTGACATGGAATTTGCACCTTTACCAGAGTTGACCGTTGGCTTGAATTAAAACCAATAAAAAACAATCAGTGGCTTCTTCTGCACAGACGCCGCGTTGTCCAAGATAATGTGCCATTGATTGTGTTGGGGAGTGTCAGCAAACTCCCTCTTCTCCCGTCGGGGAATTGAACCCCGGTCTCCCGCGTGACAGGCGGGGATACTGACCACTATACTAACGAGGAACACAAACTAATTGAGCATTCCTCGTCATGAGCAAATACTTTCAGTCCTACAATTTTAAATATGAGGTTGAGACATGACGGGATCCAAAACACCTGTAGAAACAGGCATTGGTGGTTCAGTGGTAGAATTCTCGCCTGCCCGCGGGAGGCCGGGTTCGATTCCCGGCCAATGCAGCATACACTTTAGCACACTTAGTGGTAGAATTCTCTTCTGTACCGAGGGAGGCCGGCCAATGCAGCTTCCGTCACAATGTGGCCGGGAATTGGAATCACAATGTAAAAATAGTGGCCCGAATTGAGGCACTTCATTAGGTTTACTCAAAACCTCTGTCACAAGTGGGATTCGAACCAAGTCCTCCAAGGGAGACTGCGATCGGAACGCAGCCAAGTCGCAATTTTAATGTGAAAATTGGCCGTAATTTGGCCACTCTCCTTGGCGGAATATCTGGTCAATGTGAGTCGCACAAGTCTAAACGTGAGATGACACAGGACAACTCACTCCTCTATATCCCCTTCGAATCACAATGTACAAATAGTGGCTGCCCGAATTGAGACGCTTCATCTAGGTTTACTCAAAACTGTCAGACTGTTGGATTCGAACCCACGCCCTCCAGGGAGACTGCGACCTGAACGGCCGCGCCTTAGACGCCTACGAACATCCTGACATGAAATATACAACGTTCAACCAGAGTTGATCAATGGCTTGAATTAAAACAGTCAGTGGCTTCTTCTGCACAGATGCCGTGTTGTCCAAGTATAATGTGCCATTGATTGTGTTGGGGGAGTGTCAGTAAAAAAACCCTCTCCTCCCCCGGTCGGGGAATTGAACCCCGGTCTCCCGCGTGACAGGCGGGGATACTGACCCTACTATACTAACGAGGAACACAAGTGCATTGAACTTTCCTCGTCACGATCAAATACTTTCAGTTCCTACAATTTTAAATTTGAGGTTGAGACATGACGGGATCCAAAACACCAGCGAAAAAAGGCATTGGTGGTTCAGTGGTAGAATTCTCGCCTGCCACGCGGGTGGCCCGGGTTCGATGCAGCATACACTTTAGCACACTTAGTGGTAGAATTCTCTTCTGTACGAGGGAGGCCGGCCAATGCAGCTTCCGTCACAATGTGGCCGGGAATTGGAATCACAATGTAAAAATAGTGGCCCGAATTGAGGACTTCATTAGGTTTACTCAAAACCTCTGTCAAGTGGGATTCGAACCAAGTCCTCCAATGGAGACTGCAATCTGAACGCAGCCAAGTCGCAGTTGTAATGTGTAATTCGGCCACCTCTTGCGGAATATCTGGTCAATGTGAGATTGCCACAGGAAGACACACTCTTTAACGCAGCCAAGTCGCAGTTGTAATGTGAAAACTGGCCATAATTCGGCCACCTCTTGCGGAATATCTGGTCAATGTGAGATTGACACAGGAAGACGCTATTTAGATCCCTTCCGAAGTCACAATGTAAAAAAATTGGCCTGAATTGAGGCACTTCATTAGGTTTACTCAAAACCTCTGTCACAGTGGGATTCGAACCAAGTCCTCCAAGGAGACTGCGATCGGAACGCAGCCAAGTCGCAGTTGTAATGTGAAAATTGGCCGTAAGTTGGCCCACCTCTTACGTAATATCTGGGTAAATGTGAGTCGCACAAAGTCTAAACGTGAGATTACACAGGGACAAACTCACTCTCTATATCCCCTTCGAGATCACCTATGTAAAAATAGTGGCCCGAATTGAGGCGCTTCATTAGGTTTACTCAAAAACTGTCAGAAGTGGGATTCGGAACCCACGCCCTCCAGGGGAATGACTGGCGACCTGAAACGCAGCGCCTTAGACCGCTCGGCCATCCTGACATGGATTTACAAGTTCACCAGAGTTGATCGTTGGCTTGAATTAAAACATCAGTGGCTTCTTCTGCACAGTGCCGGTTGTTCCAAGTGTAATGTGCATTGATTGTGTTGGGGAGTGTCAGCAAAATCCCTCTTCTCCCCGTCGGGGAATTGAACCCCGGTTCTCCCGCCGTGACAGGCGGGGATACTGACCACTATACTAACGAGGAACACAAACAAATTGAGCTTTCCTCGTCATGAGCAAATACTTTCAGTCCTACAATTTTAAATATGAGGTTGAGACATGACGGGATCCAAAACACCTGTAGAAACAGGCATTGGTGGTTCAGTGGTAGAATTCTCGCCTGCCCACGCGGGAGGCCCGGGTTCGATTCCCGGCCAACTGCAGCATCTGCTTTAGCACACTTAGTGGTAGAGTTCTCTTCTGTAGTGAGGGTGGCCGGGTTCCGATCCCCGGCGAATGCAGCTTCCGTCACATTGTGGCCGGGAGTCGAAATCACAATGTAAAAATAGAGGCCCCGAATTGTGGCACTTCATTAGGTTTACTCAAAACCTCTGTCAGAAGTGGGATTCGAACCAAACTGTGATCGGAACGCAGCCAAGTCGCAGTTGTATTGTGAAAATTGGCCGTAATTTGGCCACCTCTTGTAGAAAAAAACTGGTCAATGTGAGATTGACAAGGAAGACACACTCTTTACCCAGCCAAGTCGCAATTGAGTAATGTGGAAACTGGCCGTAATTCGGCCACCTCTTGCGGAATATCTGGGCAATGTGAGATTGACACAGGAAGACACTACTTTAGATCCCTTCCGAATCACAATGTAAAAAAATTGGCCCGAATTGAGGCAGTTTATTAGGTTTTCTCAAAACACTGTCAGAAGTGGGATTCGAACCCACGCCTCCAGGGAGGACTGCTACCTGAATGCAGCGCTTAGACCGCTGATGCCGGCCAATTGAGCCCAGTTGTTTCATCGATTAAGAGGTGTAATGTGAAAACTGGGCCATAATTCAACCACCTCTTGCGTAATATCTGGTTCAATGTGAGTCGCACAAGTCGAAACGTGAGATTGACACAGGACAACTCACTCTCTATATCCCTTCGAATCACAAAGTAAAAATAGTGGCCCGTATTGAGGCGCTTCATTAGGTTTACTCAAAAACTGTCAGAAGTGGGATTAGAACCCACGCCTCCAGGGGAGACTGCGACCTGAACGCAAGCGCCTTAGGACCGCTCGGCCATCCTGACATGGAATTGACACGTTCACCAGAGTTGATCGTTGGCTTGAATTAAAACATCAGTGGATTCTTCTGCACAGATGCCGTGTTGTCCAAGTATAATGTGCCATTGATTGTGTTGGGGAGTGTCAGTAAAAACCCTCTACTCCCCGTCGGGGAATTGAACCCCGGTCTCCCGCGTGACAGGCGGGGATACTGACCACTATACTAACGAGGAACCACAAGTGCATTGAACATTCCAGTACCGAGGGAGGCCGGCCAATGCAGCTTCCGTCAACAATGTGGCCGGGAATTGGAATCCACAATGTAAAAATAGTGGCCCGAATTGAGGCACTTCATTAGGTTTACTCAAAACCTCTGTCAGAAGTGGGATTCGAACCAAGTCCTCCAATGGAGACTGCAATCTGATCCAGCCAAGTCGCAGTTGTAATGTGTGAATTTGGCCACCTCTTGCGGAATATTGGTCAATGTGAGATTGCCACAGGAAGACACACTCTTTAACGCAGCCAAGTCGCAGTTGTAATGTAAAACTGCCATAATTCGGCCACCTCTTGCGAATATCTGGTCATGGTGAGATTGACACAGGAAGACGCTATTTAGATCCCTTCCGAATCACAATGTATAAAAATTGGCCCGAATTGAGGCACTTCATTAGGTTTACTCAAAACCTCTGTCACAAGTGGGATTCGAACCAAGTCACTCCAAGGAGACTGCGATCGGAACGCAGCCAAGTCGCAGTTTTAAAGTGATGAATTGGCTGTAATTTGGCCACCTCTTGCGGAATATTCTGGTCAAGGTGTGAATTGACACAGGAAAACACACTCTTTACCACAGCCAAGTCGCAATTGTAATGTGAAAACTTGGCCTAATTCGGCCACCTCTTGCGAATATCTGGTCAATGTGAGATTGACACAGGAAGACACTCTTTAGATCCTTTCGAATCACAATGTAATAAAATTGGCCCGAATTGAGGCACTTCATTAGGTTTGCTTAAACACTGTCAGAAGTGGGATTCGAACCCACGCCTCCAGGGGAGACTGCGACCTATACGCCAGCGCCTTAGACCGCTCGGCCATCCTGACATGGAATTTGCACCTTTACAGAGTTGACCGTTGGCTTGAATTTAAAACCAATAAAAACATCAGCGGCTTCTTCTGCACAGACGCCGCGTTGTCCATGTATAATGTGCCATTGAATTGTGTTGGGGACAAAGTGTCAGCAACTCCCTCTTCTCCCCGTCGGGGAATTGAACCGCCGGTCTCCCGCGTGGACAGGCGGGGATACTCGACCACTATACTACCGAGGAACACAAACTAATTGAGCATTCTCGTCATGAGCAAATACTTTCAGTCCTACAATTTTAAATATGAGGTTGAGACATGACGGGATCCAAAACACCTGTAGAAACAGGCATTGGTGGTTCAGTGGTAGAATTCTCGCCTGCCACGCGGGGGCCCGGGTTCGATTCCGGCCAATGCAGCATACACTTTAGCACACTTAGTGGAATCTTCTTTCTGTACCGAGGGAGGCCGGCCAATGCAGCTTCCGTCACAATGTGGCCGGGAATTGGAATCACAATGTAAAAATAGTGGCCCGAATTGAGGCGCTTCATTAGGTTTACTCAAAAACTGTCAGAAGCGGGATTCGAACCCACGCCTCAAGGGGAGACTGCGACCTGAACGCAGCGCCTTAGACCGCTCGGACATCCTGACATGAAATTTACACGTTCACCAGAGTTGATCAATGGCTTGAATTAATACATCAGTGGCTTCTTCTGCACAGATGCCGTGTTGTCCAAGTATAATGTGCCATTGATTGTGTTGGGGAGTGTCAGTAAAAAACCCTCTCCTCCCCGTCGGGGAATTGAACCCCGGTCTCCCGCGTGACAGGCGGGGATACTGACCACTATACTAACGAGGAACACAAGTGCATTGAACATTCCTCGTCACGATCAAATACTTTCAGTCCTACAATTTTAAATATGAGGTTGAGACATGACGGGATCCAAAACACCAGCGAAAAAAGGCATTGGTGGTTCAGTGGTAGAATTCTCGCCTGCCACGCGGGTGGCCCGGGTTCGATGCAGCATACACTTTAGCACACTTAGTGGTAGAATTCTCTTCTGTACCGAGGGAGGCCAATGCAGCTTCCGTCACAATGTGGCCGGGAATTGGAATCACAATGTAAAAATAGTGGCCCGAATTGAGGCACTTCATTAGGTTTACTCAAAACCTCTGTCAGAAGTGGGATTCGAACCAAGTCCTCCAATGGAGACTGCAATCTGAACGCAGCCAAGTCGCAGTTGTAATGTGTAATTCGGCCACCTCTTGCGGAATATCTGGTCAATGTGAGATTGCCACAGGAACACACTCTTTAACGCAGCCAAGTCGCAGTTGTAATGTGAAAACTGGCCATAATTCGGCCACCTCTTGCGGAATATCTGGTCAATGTGAGATTGACACAGGAAGACGCTATTTAGATCCCTTCCGAATCACAATGTAAAAAAATTGGCCTGAATTGAGGCACTTCATTAGGTTTACTCAAAACCTCTGTCACAAGTGGGATTCGAACCAAGTCCTCCAAGGGAGACTGCGATCGGAACGCAGCCAAGTCGCAGTTTTAATGTGAAAATTGGCCGTAATTTGGCCACCTCTTACGTAATATCTGGTAAATGTGAGTCGCACAAGTCTAAACGTGAGATTGACACAGGACAACTCACTCTCTATATCCCCTTCGAATCACAATGTAAAAATAGTGGCCCGAATTGAGGCGCTTCATTAGGTTTACTCAAAAACTGTCAGAAGTGGGATTCGAACCCACGCCTCCAGGGGACTGCGACCTGAACGCAGCGCCTTAGACCGCTCGGCCATCCTGACATGGAATTTACAAGTTCACCAGAGTTGATCGTTGGCTTGAATTAAAACATCAGTGGCTTCTTCTGCACAGATGCCGTGTTGTCCAAGTGTAATGTGCCATTGATTGTGTTGGGGAGTGTCAGCAAAATCCCTCTTCTCCCCGTCGGGGAATTGAACCCCTCTCCCACGTGACAGGCGGGGATACTGACCACTATACTAACGAGGAACACAAACAAATTGAGCATTCCTCGTCATGAGCAAATACTTTCAGTCCTACAATTTTAAATATGAGGTTGAGACATGACGGGATCCAAAACACCTGTAGAGAACAGGCATTGGTGGTTCAGTGGTAGAATTCTCGCCTGCCACGCGGGAGGCCCGGGTTCGATTCCCGGCCAATGCAGCATCTGCTTTAGCACACTTAGTGGTAGAGTTCTCTTCTGTAGTGAGGGTGGCCGGTTCCGATTCCCCGGCGAATGCAGCTTCCGTCACATTGTGGCCGGGAGTCGAAATCACAATGTAAAAATAGAGGCCCGAATTGAGGCACTTCATTAGGTTTACTCAAAACCTCTGTCAGAAGTGGGATTCGAACCAACTGTGATCTGAACGCAGCCAAGTCGCAGTTGTAATGTGAAAATTGGCCGTAATTTGGCCACCTCTTGTAGAAAAAACTGGTCAATGTGAGATTGACACAGGAAGACACACTCTTTACCACAGCCAAGTCGCAATTGTAATGTGAAAACTGGCCGTAATTCGGCCACCTCTTGCGGAATATCTGGGCAATGTGAGATTGACACAGGAAGACACTCTTTAGATCCCTTCCGAATCACAATGTAAAAAAATTGGCCCGAATTGAGGCAGTTTATTAGGTTTTCTCAAACACTGTCAGAAGTGGGATTCGAACCCACGCCT